CTCCTCCTCCTCTCCTCTCTATAGTATCTCTCTCCTCCTCCTCTCTCTCTCTCTCTCTCTCTCTCTCTCTCTCTCTTTCTCTTGCTCCCCCTCTCTCTCTCTCTTTTTCTCCCCTTCCCTGTCTGCTCTATGCGTTATCTTTTCATCTTTCTCTCTCGGCAGGAATGTGAAAAGTTGAGTATTAAGCTCGGCCGGCTTCAGCGCTGCGGCTCCGCCTCCTCCCTCACGACCACCGGCGCCACCTACTACAACGGCCTCGTTCTCGAGGCGACAACGGACGACGACGCCCTCGCGCTGTCGTCGTGGGCGGAGGTGAGCGGAGGTGGCAGCACCGCAGCATCAGCGGCGGAGGAGGAGGGCGGAGCGAGGAACGTGCGAGTACTGACGCAGGAGAACGATGAGCTGAGAGGATCCGTGCAGATGCAGGGCAAGGAGATGAGCCTCATCAAAGTGTGTGCGTGCATGCGTGCGGGTGCGAGTGTGCGTGCGTGCGTGCGTGCGAGTGCGTGCGAGTGCGTGCATGCACGAGAGTGTGTGTGCATGTGTGCGTGCGTGCGTTAGGGTGCGCGTGCGTGCATGTGTGTGTGCGTGAGGGTGCACGCGCGTCCGTGTGTGAGGGTGCGCGTGCGTGCGTGCGTGTGTGTGCGTGCGCGAGGGTGGAGGTTAGATGCAGTATATGCAATGCTATGTAACGTTGTGTCCCACGTGAAACTTTCTGTGTTTGCTAACATGTGTAATGTTTGTGTCACCCACCACTAGGAGGCGCTGGAGAAGGCGCAGCAGACGCTGCAGGTGAAGTTAGCGAGCGAGTCGGAACTTCAGAGCGAGATCGAACGTCTGCTAAATTTGCAGACGGACGCGAAACCAAAGGGAACGACGCAGATGCAGAACAGCGAGATGGGAGAGATCAAGGTGTGTGTGCGTGCATGCGTGCGTGCGTACATGTAACATTATGTTGGGTGTGATGTCTGAGGTTCAATGGTAGGACATAGATGTAACATTACTTTGGGTTTTATTGTGTGAGGTTTCATGGTAGTTCATGCACATAACATTATGCCAGGTGTGATTGCGTGAGATTCCGTGTGTGTTCACGAACGAAATATGGTAATTCCATGTTTGTTAACGTTGATGTGCGTTGTTCGCATCTCCCACCAGGAGGCGCTGGAAAAGGCGCAGCAGACGCTGCAGCAGGAGATTGCGCGTGAGTCGGAGCGCGAGAGCGAGATTGCACACCTGAAGAAACTGCAGGCAAAACTGTTCGACGAGGTCAAAGCTTATAAAAAGGTGAGAGACGACGTTTCATTCATCCTAGGTACCAATATTCGAGTTAGACACTGCTATCTTTTGCCATCAAGTTGCGTAGCAAACGATTTCCAATAAAACTACTTGGTTGTTGTTACACAATATTCACGTAGAAAAGAGTGCGTTCAAATGTGCACAAGTGCTTATACAAATCTTTGCCTTGAACATTGACTTTACTTGCCTATTTATATTATACACCTCACCAGTGGCAAACAAATATGGCTTTGTCTGGCTGTTCTTGCATTTTAGAGTTCGTAATATTAAATGAATCACATATCGTATGATTTGCCTCGTAGTTCGATGACTAATGTTTTGGTCGTTGCATCCGTTAAATGTCGTAGAACGAGACCTTCCTTCATAACAAGATCACAGCACTCGAGGAGAAAGGAGAGAAGGAAGTAGTGGAGAAGAAAGCAGCAGGGAGAGGAACGCCATTGTCGAAGCGCGCCCTGGCGAGGGTTTACTTGCAAACAAACGTACGTCTGTTCGCCAAACCTCTACTGTCTTTAATAATCTCTTTCTATCTCTATCTCTGTCTATCCTGTTTTTCTTTCTCCCCTCTCTCTCTCTCTCTCTCTCTCTCTCTCTCTCTCTCTCTGTCTCTTCCGCTCCTCGTCTCTCTCTCTCTCTGTCTCGTTGCTCTCTCTCTCTCTCTCTCTCTCTCTCTCTGTGTGTGTGTCTCTCTCTCTCTCTGTCTCTCTTGCTCTCGCCATCTCTTTCTCATTAGTATTTGTCGCTCATAAGTGTTATATCTGTCCCATCTGCACACGTAAATAAATGACATTGCTAGTTTCAGGATGGCCAACAAAGCCTGAACACCTCTACCCAGGATTCCAGCTGGCTTCAAGTTTATCCGAATCCCTACGTGCAGCAGGTACTGTAGCTGTCATGCGTGTGTCACTTCTGCAGCTTGTGCGTGGTGAAGAAGCATTTACTGCTCAAAGTTTAAACTTACACACCGTTGCTTACACTCGTTAGTGCCTGTCTACGTTTAAGCACTAGAATTTAAACTGATGTTAGTTTAATCCTGCAGTATGTAAACCCGTGTGCGCTGTGAGGAATCGATACCCCCAGCAATGTCGGTGTGTGTGTGCGTGCATGCATGCGTGCGGACGAGCATGCGTGCGAGCGTGCGTGCGGGCGGGCATGCGTGCGTGTGCGCATGCAAACGACCTTGCTCATTTTGATGTGAACTACATTGGCTAACACGTTGTTTTCAGAATGCGGCGGCGTCATCTCAGTCAATGCACCGCAATCCCTACGTGCAGGTATGCGGAGGTCAACTCCCCTGTTGAATCGCGCCCCTTCGGCAACTGCCGAACTCGGTTCATGCTTGCTCGTTGGTGTTGATCGGTAACAAACCGCGATGACGTCAGTAGAACATCGAAGGCCATTGTGATTTCGTGAAGTCGTCGAGAAGCAAAACGCTCGAGAGAACGTAGATGTAATAACATTCCTAACACTGTCGACGTTGGTTCTTGCGTCACTAAGCTTTGGACGCTCATTGCAGGTGCCAGTGAGCGACCCCGGGACCGTGCCGACAGCGCCATCTATGAGCAGAGAGGCAAACCTCGTGAAGAAGTCTAAGAAGCAGCCACCGGGTATGCGTGATTTACAAGGCTGGTGGGGTTTCAAGAAAGTCGATTGATGAGTAGAAGTTAGGAGAGCAGATCGGTGCAAGTTTACCTCGCGGTGATTAGAACGATAACAAATTTGTCTTATCGTGCGAATTTGAGCATATTGTTCCTTTAAATAAATAAAAAAATCTCTCTCTCTATATATATATATATATATATATATATATTGTAGACACGANCCCACATAAACTGACCGTGTGCATAGCGTGTACATAGGAATCTAAATCGACATCTGCTGGTTAAGTTTCGAGTCCAAGGATGGTTCCCTTGTTTGGAGGGAGGGTTCGTGGCTGCTAATTTAAGCGTGTATATATGGGACAGTCGAGGCGAGCACAGTTAGTTAAGTTTGAGTTTGAGTTGAGTGCTAACATTGTCAGTGCCTGCGACGTGCGTTGTTACCAGTCTGTGAGTATGTAAGCCTTCTTACCTAATGGCTTAAGGTTCTTCTTCTTATGCACATAGATCTATATGCCGCTATGGACCTATAACTGTCTTGTGTTCTTATTCGTTCTATCGTAGTAAGCTATTTTTTAGTACGTGCAATAACTTCCTATATTTCTAAACGTAGTATCTTATAGCTGTGTAAATTGCACTCACACTGTGTATAATTCTTCAGCACTTCTCCGTGTACCGTAGTACGTGTATCTCTAATAACTACAGGAGCTTTCCTGAATAAATCTATTCTTTGTGGCACTGTCTACATTTCTTCTCTGGTGAATATAAGTGTTAACATTTCTATACACTTCTTGTAAGACGAAGATTCTAAAGTCTACATTGGTTGCCGTGACTTCGTGTACGCCCTGGGTCTTCTTTGCGATAACGTATAGACACTACCACTATACTGTGGCGATCACGATTGAACCTTGAGCCAGACGAGAAGGACTTCCGTACGAGAAACTAACGATAGACGGGTAAGCCTACCATTTGTTACCAGCGTTATAATTGTAAATTTAAACGTCGTAGCGTGCTATTACTTCAGTTCTGAACGTGTTCGTTGTTTGACTTTTATGTAACTCTATTCTTGCCATGGCTACCCATCTCTCCCCTCCTAGCGACGATACGGCATCCCCGTTTCTCGCTGACGCTACTCTAAATCCCTACGATAATATGCCGCCTTTACAGCAGCAGGTTTATCAAATCGAGCCTGAAATCGCATCGCTACAGCTGCCTCCACCCCCGGAATCTGCCTTCACTATAACGCAGTTAGCGTCTGTTTTTGGTCAAGCTTTGCGACCCTCGCTTGATACAATAGGCGAGAATGTTGATAAATCGTTAAGATTAGCGGAATTGCGTGGGTCGATACCGAAGTTCTCGGGCGCGCCGGGACCGTTACAGGTGAGTTTCGCGCAGTGGCGTGAAGCATTACAGTTGGTAAGAGTGCAGATAACCGTAAGTGATACGCAGTTTCTTTCGTTAGCGTTATCGTCACTCATTGATGGGGCTGCCCAGTTTGCGCGACGCCAGTTGCTCGCCGAGCCGGGTATGACGTGGTTACACATGTTTCAACTGTTGCAGAAGCAATATTTAAACCCGGCTGACATTCCGCGCGCGCAGTCAGCGTTAAACGAATTTCGGCAGAATCGTAATGAGAGTCCGCGCGCGTGTGCTCAGCGTTTGGTAGAACTCGCCGAATGTGCCTACCCTCATGTTAACCGTAATGAGCATTCTTTTCAGACACGTTTAATTGAGATTTTTACCGCAGCTTTAAATTTAGTTCCATCTCAACGCGCGTTAATTAAGTCTAAACCTCAAACGTTGGAACGGGCAGTCGAAATTTGTGTTGCGCAAACAGTGGTCGAGGCAGAATTAGGAGCGATCCACCGTACACGCGCCGCTCATCAGCCCACGGTAGGTACGAGCGACGAGGGTGCGGGGGTGGCGAATTATTCGGAAGTGCGACGCGTCTCACGTAATGAAGAGGTGTCTCGTACTAGCGAATATGAAGCTATGACCCACCAACTCAAGCAGTTCACCGCCTTAATGAAGGAGCATACGGAGATGTTAATTAGTGTTAAGAATGATTTTGCAGCCGCAATGACAGCTGTACGTGCTATGGTTACCAGTCAGTCATCGTCTGTTGATACTCGTCAACCCGATACGAATGCACCTTTGTTACCCGCCCCACCTTATCCGCAGCGGTTCCCCTCGATGCCACCACGTGCGCCTGTACGTTGCTATAATTGTCAGCGATTGGGGCATATGGCTGGTGAGTGCAGGATGCGTGGAAAAGCGCAGGGAAACGCTACGGGGGGTCGCATGTAAGAATCGCGCGTGCGTCACATACCCCACCGCCTGCGTTCCCATATCTCTTTGTGTCTTCTTCACTTGCAGCTAATAATACACCGCGTTGTATGGTGTCTATTTCAGGGAAGCCAATGTATGCTCTTGTTGATTCTGGCGCCGATCTAAGCCTCCTCGATGCGCACCAGTGGCGAGCGGCTACACAGCAGCACCACGCCCCACTAATGCGTACTAATTATTCTGTTTTGTTGTCAGCAAGCGGGCATCAATTACCCGTCCTCGGAGCGATGGTGCTTCCCCTGACGGTGGAGGGACGAGTAATATCTGTTCTTTTTCATGTTGTTCAAGATTTGCCGAGGCCTTGTGTTATTGGCGCTGACTTTTTACGATTACATGGGGTCGTGCTTGACCTAAAGGCAAATGTTTTGCAGATGGGTAGATTAATTGTTCCTTTACTCACACCTAACGATGATAAGCCTGTGTTCGCGAGATTGGCGGCAGCTGTTACGCTTCGGCCGCACTCTCAGATCAGGTGTCAGTTTCAGTTACCGAGGTCGCTAAACAAGGTTTCTAGATTGTATCTTGATACAATTCGTCGTAGGTATTCTAACGATATAAAGATAGCTCGGGCTTCTGCTAAGGTTACGGATTCTGAAACAGTCTCCTATGTTGTGTTTAATTTAGGCTCAAACCTAATAAGGCTGCCGTGCAATTCTATTTTGGGAGTTTTTCAGGTTAATACGCATTGTTCGCAGCCATCTTCGCTTGCAGTCGTGGCTCCGCCTTTGCACGTGGCGCCCTCGGGTGAGCAAATCCCCGCAGCAGCTATTTCTACAGCAGCTATTTCTACGCCGTCTGACGTAGGTCCTTCAAGTGAGTTGTCATTTGAGAAGTCGGTTAGCCATGTTACTGATACGGACCAGCGTGTTTCGTTACTTACGTTTCTAAATAGGAATGAGGCCGCCTTTGCGAAGTCAAGTACGGATTTGGGTAGGACTCACCTTACGGAGTTCTATATCGATACTCAAGGTAACCGACCAGTTCGTTCTAAGCCTTATAGACTAAGCGTCGCACATGCGAGAATAGTTGATGAAAAGGTGCAGGAATTGTTGCAAGCTGGGTTAATTCGAGAATCATGCAGTCCTTGGGCTGCGCCTGTTATTCTAGTTCCGAAAAAGGATTCAGATTGGAGATTATGTATTGATTTTAGGCGTTTAAACGCAGTCACTGTCCGCGATGGCTTCCCGCTTCCCTTGGTCGACGACGTTCTACATCAGCTAGGGGGTGCACGAGTTTATTCAACCCTTGATCTGTGTTCAGCATATCATCAAATGCCCATTGCTAGGAAGCATCAACATAAGACGGCTTTTGTCACACCTTCCTCTCAAATGGAATTTTAAAACTTTGGCGTATGGGTTAACGAATGCCCCGTCTGCATTTCAACGGCTTATGACTAGGGTACTGCAGGGTTACTTGGGAAAGTTCGTCTTAGTATATATCGACGATATAGTTATTTATAGCCCTGATTTTGATACCCACCTCGTACACTTGAATCGTGTCTTTGCTCGTTTGAAGGAAGCCAATCTAAAGCTTAAACTTTTTTCTCGGATTATGTGGGTATTATCGTAAGTTTGTCCATAACTATGCTAAGATTGCACGACCACTTACATTATTAACGGCTAAGGCCACTCCTTTCCTTTGGACTCCTAGTGTACAAGCGTCATTTGATACGTTGAAATCTGCCCTTGTTTCAGCGCCTATTCTAGCACTCGCAGCGCCTGATCGTGATTTCGCGTTATACTGTGATGCGTCATCGCACACGGTCGCATCAGTATTAACACAGCTTGCTTTGGATGGGAAAGAGCATGTGATTATGTATGTTTCTAAACAGCTTACAGGTTCGCAGTTGAATTGGCCTATTGTGGAAAAAGAGGCGTTTTCAATTGTTTACGCGATGACGAGGCTACGCCCATTTCTACAAGGTACTCGGTGTGTCGTATATTCCGATCATAAGCCTCTCCAATTTTTAATGTCGGCTAAATCACTCACTAATGCTAGGTTGCAAAGGTGGGCGGTTATCCTTTCACAGTATGATTTAAAGATGCAATTCTTGCAGGGGAAATTTAATGAACAAGCGGATGCGTTATCGCGCCTGCAGACGTCGCCAGGTACGAGTTTCGTCGATGACGCAACGCGGGAATTAGACGAAATGTGTTTTTTGGTCGACGCGATAGAAAATGAACCAGAAAATGAACCGCTCAGCGATGTTGTTGTAACAGTAGCTGATACACATGCCACTGACACCCTAATTCCACTCACTGATCCCATTCGCTTTCGTTTATTGCAGCAGCAGGATGCAGATTCTGCACTGATTATTGACGTTTTACAGAAGCCACGGATTTCATTACGGCAGTTGAAGCTGGTGGAGTCATATTACATGGAGGAGGGTATGCTTTGTCATTTGTCGCGACAGACGAATGCTCAGATGCCTCATTGTCAAGTTGTCATACCGTGTGTTTTGATACAGGAGGTAATGGCTGCTTGCCATTCCGATCAAGCAGGTCATTTGGGATTTGATAAAACGTATAGCAAGATAGCTGAGCGTTATTACTGGCCTCGCATGTACCCGCAGATATTGAATTTTGTTAAATCATGTGTACCTTGTAATTCTAGGAAGCTGCGAAGGATTAATGCACCATTGCATGAAGCTCCTATCCCGACGG